GACAATCGTTCTGACGTTTTTCAAACATTTTTTGAGCGATCGTCGGCTGCAACTAATCGTATTGTCGGGGGTATTGACTTTTCTGAGCACATGCCGGTTTCAACAAATCGCATTGTGAAGAGCCTTCCGAGGCGATGGTAATGAATCGCATGACATTCGCTCAACTAAGGCTTGAATACGGTTTGTTACGGCCGACATTTGCAAAGACAAAGCCCCTCAGCGCAGCTACCAAGATCTGGCAGTTCCACATGTCACGGCCGACATTTGCTCGGACAGATCCCCCAATACCTGGCAATACGGTTTCTGACGTCCGACAGTTGAAATGTTTGCGTAAACAGAACAGCAAAGCACGGGGGAAAAACAAAAAATACGATCGGGTTTTGTAAAAACAACCCACCACGACCGGGCAATACGATTTGTTGTTACGGCTCACTCATCGGCAGAAAGAGCCGCCAAGACCCGATAAGACGTGTTACGAGCGGCATGTGCTCGGAAAGAACCACAAAAATACAAGAATACGACTTGTTATTGTCGACATTGGCCAGAAACCGGCAATACGATTTTTACTGCCAGAAAAGCCGCCAAGCCCGCACAGGACGAATTCTTACGACCGATAACTGCTACCAACATCCGGGAAGACGTTTTGTTACGACCGACGTTTACTCAGAAAAAGAGCACTCCAAGACCCGGCCGTAGGATTTGTAACGGCCGCCTGTACCAATTTGGCCCCATTATGCGCTCACCGCGCGCCCACAGATTTTTACCGACTGAAAACCTCAGCTGTTCCGCGCCCAATGTGCGCACATGTACAAATAGTGTTGGACCCACTGGCTTTTCCTCAGCCCCACGCTTCCGGGACCCGTGCCCAATGTGCGCCTGTGCAGATAAATTTGGACCCGCCGATGCCCTTTGCAAAGGGCGCTCACAGTGGGAACGGCTGATCACCTCCGCGCCTCCGCGCACGAAGCCTACCCAAAGTTCGGACCCGCCGAGAACCTCAGCGCTTGGGCACCCAAAGTGCGCCCACAGATTTTGTTATCCGCCCAAGTTGTATACTGTATACGACACATGCAGTACTTACGGGGTACAGGGTATGCGGAGTCGCAGACATCCGGAAGAAGATCAATTTCGAACAGTCATGAATGCTGGTGATAGGCAAGCTGTTCACTAGGCAGGCATTGCAGCTGTTGAGGAGCATGTGCTGCTTCTGGTGCGGATTCCAGCTGCGGCTGCTTGTTACAAACATGTGCTACTCGCCGCCCGTGGTCTTTAGACACGGTCTTAGGTCAGCATCAGGTCCCGATTCAGCAGGCGGCCTATTCAGGCCAGGCCAGAATCTACGTATGTTCAGTCACAGCTCCCATCGCGATTCTTGGAAGGCATCAGGGACCATTGTGACGCCTGAGGAACAGCGCTCGGTCTTTCATTTAAGTGATGGCTCGTCAGCGGTCAACGCTTGGCGGTCTCGCATTTCACAGAGACAGCTGAGCCCGGCTCGCAGCTGCAATCTGGGTTCTTCAAGTCGCTCCTAACACGCTTCGTTCTTCCGCACATGTGTCCTGGTCTTCCTCGCACCCTTACGCATGCGTCAAGCAATGGCCCCTGTTCCGCTACATGCCGACAACGGCGAGTAGATCCAATTGTCTGTTTCAGGGAGAGCACATCTGCAGAAGCTGCGCGATACTTACTTTTAGCTTTCATGCCAGCAGACAATCAGGGATCAGTGTGTTTCTACACCTGACTTGCGAGCGACTTCAATCCAGAAGGCCACTAAAAACTTTGCAATGCCCACTAGCATTTCCAGAGATGCCAACACAACCCAAAAACAACAAAACAGACACCAACATCGCCCCGTTTCATCTGCTGCGTCCCTGATGCTATCCCATTAGACTGGTTTTTCCGGGTCGTGACCCGAGCTTTGCATAGAGAGCCCCCGAACCAAGACTGAACACCCCAAAACACAGAAAGGTGCAGGAACAAGCATTCTCGAACCCAGACAGGTGCTGTCTTTAGATTTCGCGCATTGCTTCTGCTTCGTCACCAAGCACACTCCTAAGATAGATGTGTGTGTGTGTGCGTATGTATATATATATATATATATATGTATATGCAGAAGGAACTTCAAGGACACCGCAGCCTCGGCTGTAGGCAGCACCGAAGCAAATCGGTGCTATGGCATCGGCAGTTTGCTCCCAGCTTGCTCTGACTTTCAGTTGTACGGTTCGCAGGCAATTGGGAGCACAGTGAAACTGATGTAGAAGCATTGGAGACCCGCGTGCAGCATCATTCCGGGCTGCCGCATCGATTCACAAAATCAGACGGAACTCAGCAGGCCAATTCGCAGTTTCTGCGGCAGATGCCACGAAGTCTGGCCCGAGAGAGCTGCATTTTGCGCGCCACACGACAGATTGTTGCCGCAGCTGTGCTTCTCCAGCACCAGTGTCAACCTCCAGATTTAGTCCTATCCTCGCTTCTCAGATGAGCATCTCGCACCCACAGTTGAGGAATTTCTGATGAGCCGACCCGCACAGTGACACGTGTCGAGAGCGCATGGTGGATCTAGGTGTAGCTTATAACCATCACAGCAGTGCGCAATGATGCGCAGAGTTTAGACTTGAGAAATCATGAGGATCAACGCTGGAGTATGACTGCAGCTGACATCATCAGTAGTTGTGATACTGGCAGTCGTCGTGGTAATCGTAGGGAAATCGTAGCCGTAGTCGTAGCAGCCGTAGTAGTGGCAGGAGCAAAGGTGGGAGGAGGTGCTGACGTGATGGTAGCAGGACCCGGGGCTGTATGGCAGGATTTCACGAAAGTTCGCCTGAGCGGCATCTTCCTACATGCATGTGTGGCCATGTCAGGTGCTGGATGGATACATGTTCATGGCACAGAATAAAGGATTTTGATATGGAGTGTGTTCCGACGTCGGTACAAGCACGGATCGAACATAATCATGTTGGATAGTTCAGACTAGGAGAAGTCCCCTTCCTGGTTTCACGGGCGCGGGGAATGCTCCCAGCCTAGAGCAGACGTCCGGCACTCGGAACTCCAAAACAGCCTGCCGCGCCACGCCCGAATCATGTTTTGCCGAGGCCGGGAGTGCACACCCCGAGCGGAGAGGCAGGTAGACTTCTTCCACTATGGTAGTTTCTGGGAGTGTTTCATTGCCAGAAGTTGCAAAAAAGTTAACACGTGTCCTCAGCATGCCGGCTTAAAGTGGGCTGCCATTGGCGTGCGAATATCCAACCGTAAGAAGCCAGGCAGAGTGGTGAGGGACTGAGGGACGTTCAGAGGCACAGTTATTCCCTGGCTTCGCTCCGCGTCGAGGCGGGGCGTTGTATCGGTGCTCGGCGACTTAGCCGAGCCCGGATGGAGATAAATGACTTGGCGGAGGATCTGTGCCATTGAGCGTTTCCGTTGTCGCACCGATTAGTCTTTGCAGGACATCGACAAGTACTTGGCGCTGCAGCCCTCGAGGCTTGCGTTTCTTTTGCTTGCGAAATATTGAGAGCAGCGACGTCATGCATGTCTGTGTCCGTCAATCTCAACTTTGGCCGGATTGTATATTTGCTGAAGGGAAATGCCAACGGACATCCTCGTGAACACGGACATCCTCGTGAACGATGCAAGGCCGCGCTTCTGCGTGTCTAGCAGGAGGGTGCTCATCGTAAGAGTACCACATGCGTTCGTTCAGGATCCAAGAATCGATCCGCGTGAGGTTTTCCTTTCACCCACATGGTTTCTAGTACAGTGATCCAGGGCGTCTGGAGGAAGACACCAGGAAACTCCTGATGATTTCAGTGGACTGTAATTTTAAGCTTTTGCTTGGCCAGGTGCTGCATCAACAAGGCCTGGCGTCAGTGAACCATGTCGTACTTTGTGCTGTGGACCTTTCCAAAACCTGAACCCCCGATTCAAGCAGGACAGGGATAGAACTGCTTTCACGACATCGAGACCAGCCTGGGAAATCTCGGGTGGATGACAGGCATGTCCTGCCCGTGGGGTTCGCGCGTTCATTCACTGGGTGCGGTTCCAAATTGCATGACAGAGCCTGTGACTTGCGGAGGATATCGATCCGGATAGCAACAGAACGGAGGCCTGGCAGCTGCTTCTGGAACGGGGCTCCTTCTTGAGTATGTGCTCTCCTGCGCTCTCCCCACAAATTCGCGATGTTAGCTTGGCTTTCTATGTCCAAGTAGCATGCTAGTTTTTTCCCGAAAACCCCTCTGGGGTTGGGTGCTCGTTTCGTGCTCCAACGCGAGGTGCGCGATATCGGGCCCTGTTTGAACGCAAGAGCTTTAGAAGACTAAACGGTGGACCGGCCTTGATATCGGGTGCACAGACGGTGCGCGGGAGAGGAGCTCGACAAGGGGCGGGAGGGCGTGGACGAGGGGCGGGAGCGCGATATCGGGTGCGCGGACAGTGCGCGGAAGAGGGTGGGGACAGGGGGAGGGCGTGGGGGAGGGCGTGGGGGAGGGGGGGGGGGGACAAGGGGCGAGGACAAGGGGCGATATCGGGTGATATCAAGTGCGCGGACGGTGCGCGGGGAGGGCGGGGACAAGGGGCGGGAGCGCGATATGGGGTGCGCGGACCGTGCACGCGGACTTCCATTCCTGGGTTTTCGGGTTCCCGGCTTGACCTTGTTCTGCTAGTCGTCGAATGTTTTCCCGGCTCAAACATATTCCTCAACCGAGGAATGCCACTTGGATTAGATGTGTTGCACTACTGCTGCGCTACAGGGTGTAGGCACTGCGGATTCTCAAGTCCAAGTGATAGCTGAGATGTCGCTATGTGCTATTGTAGCGTTTGCTGTGCCAAAATGCTTCGACATGCTGCGATCTTGTTGCTTGAGCTAGCACGCTTTGGGCGTCCATTCAGGAGGCCTGTGGAAACGCCACTTTCCAACCTTCAACAAGCTTTAATCCCCAAAGTCTTGGTAAGCCCTAAAGCCTTGGAGTCCTAAGCCCATAAACCGCATGGCCGTGCAGGTGCCAGTCATCATGGCACAACCCCTCTTCGACGGCTTTGGGGAGGCACCGCACCCGGCTCCCGGCCGGGACGATTGAGTTCGTTGCAGTTGCCTGTGGTGGTGAAGGTGGAAGACGAAGCCGCCCACACGACTAAAACCCAGGCAGGCCTCTCAGACAGCATCCTGATTCCTGATGGCTGCCAAGTTCTCGCTTCGAGGAGTTTGAGCAGCTGGCCAGCTGGGTCCGGAAGGAACTGAGCCAGGCCATGTTCTTCTCCCACCGAGCTTGAAGGAGCTTTCTTCGTTCTTTTACATTCGTTGCTGTTGCGAAGAATGGCTTCCTCAACAGTCGCAGTCGCATGTGTGCTGGGCAGGTGAGCCTGAAAAAACTTTCTGGCACTCTTGGTCTCTCCACCCCCCCGCGCCCCAAAAAGGCTTTAAGGATTCAACTTACAGCGCAGGAGCCAGGAGACGAGTTCTACCTTCACTGGAACCTGCGATTCTTGCAAGACAGGAGTGGCTGAGAAAAGGAGGTTGGGGGCCAGACCCCTCAGCCTTCCCTGGCGCTGATGTCTGATATTTTCTCATCACTTCCGGTGGAGGTCGGAGCAGGTCACAGAAATGCCAAGGCGCCAAGACCTCAACCCTGGAACCTCAAAAAATCCGAGGGTAGGAGCCACAACGTAGCTCCCCTATGCTGCTGCGCTGTGTGAACGATCGACTGGGGTTGAGTGGACAAGCCACAGCCGAGCCACGGCTATGCCCAATCTCGTGTCCTACACGTACAGCCAGGATAGCGGTATAGCATGGTATAGCCTTATACTTAAAAGCCAGTTAACAATAATTAGGTTGAATAGCTCCCGACCCTGCACTTCGGCGTTTGAGATTGTGCCTTGGGTCTGTCGGTTCTCATGCGTGCGGCTTTAGCTCTTCTTCAACTTGCTCCGCGAGATCTGCTGGGCGGTGTGCAGGTTTCTTTGCCCGAGGATGTTTTCGTCGCCGCCATCGACGGCTACAAGACGCAAGATCATTTCATCCAGCAGTTCGAGCGGGACAGCAGCGTTGGGATCTGACGTTTAGGGGTGTTTTCTTGCTGTTTGTGCATGTTCGTTTGTTGTGCCAGGTCTTCGCTTGGTTTGTGTCTGTGTGTCTGCTTCTGCATCTCGGCTTTCTTTCGGTTTTCGCCGGCTGTTGTCCTGTGTTCTTCTCTGCTTCATCGTTTTTCCACTGTCATGCTCTCTCTCTGCGCTTCGTGCTTATTCTTGTTGCTTTCTGTTGTGTCTTCTCTTGTTTGTATCCTTTTGCTGTTCGCTGTTTGCATTCTGCTCGACAGCTTGCCTGGCATTGGCCTCCTGCTTGCTGTCTGTGTTTCCATGTGCCATTGGCTTAGGCTTATGCTAAGACTCCATGTTCAGCAACCTTGCGGAAGAACGGAGAATTCGCCCGCCTATCAGTCTGGAAACAGCTACAAAGCAAGAAGGGAACAGCATTCCAAAACATACAGCCTGACAAGTCGGTCTTCCACAAGCTACGCCAATACCGCCAGAGGCGAACTGGCCCCAGGAGCTCCCAAACACCAAGCCTCATGCAAACTAAACCAAGTTAATACCGACGATATTTCTCCCAGGCTCAGCCGCATACAGGCTGATTCACTGTTTCAAAATGATCAAGCTTCACTCCCATCACGGCTATACAAAAAGTCGGCAGTCTCAGCTACTCTGCATTCCAAAAGTTCTTCGGCGAGCAGCCACATCCTCAACTTCACGTTTAGGACAGCCGTATGCCGAATTCACCAGTGTCGCCCAAAGCGTTCCGGCTGAAGTTCTCGTGGTGCCAGTCACACATGCAGTATCCATATCTCCATTCAATTCATGAATTCCGCAACACCTGAAAGTGTCGATGAATTCAAGAACTCGGGTCACCATGCAGCTCGCTTCAGCAACCCCCTGGTGTTCCACAAAGACGGAACATGACACCCCGAGTTACAGCTGCCACGTACCTCTGCAACCTCGCGTGCAGAACACCTGTTTGCCAGCTTCCCTGTGTTCAGCCAAAAGCTTTGTGCCCGGACCCGAGGTCCTGAGCTTTGGACTCGGCAGCTGCTGGAGAAAGACAGGTTTTACTCCATCAAGGTCGCGTCAGCTCCGAAGATCTATGAAGATGCCTTAGTGACTGTACTTGTAGTGTTCATTTTGTTTCGCTTTCCTTTGTTTCGATGACAGGTTGAGTGGAAGGAGATACAAGGCAACGCGCAGCTGCGACTGATGTGGGGTCTGATACCAAGTCGTTCCATGCATGTGACCGTCGTTCCCTTGGATTGGGGCGGCCGAAGTCTAACGAAGCTGAATTGCTCTTTATGGCCCTCGAGAAGAAGTGGAAGGGCTTGTAGCCGCTTCGAGTCAGAGGACTCCAGCGGGTAATTAGCACTTTCCGGCTCGACTCATCGTCTTCTCAGAAACGAACAGGTATTCGGTGCCTGTTTTGGGGTTCTCCACACGGCTGCATAGAGCAGCCTCGCCTAAAGTCAGGGAGATTTTGGCGCGAGCGTGTCAGCCTTCCAGACATGTGCAAACCCTTTTTCGAGCGCCCGTCTACTACTACTCCTGTAGATCACGCTGATCTTCAGGATGTAGGTCTCGCTGATGTCCATAATGTGCATCCCGTTGATGTCCATGATGGTCGTCTCGTTGATGTCCATGATGTAGGTCTCGATCGCCTGCTTGATGTAGTAGATCTCGCTCTCCTCGGTGATGTAGTGGATCTCGTTCTTCTCCACTATGTAGTTCACGATCGTCTCCTTGATGATGTGCTCGATGATGTTGTAGATTGCGTAAATCCCCACGCATTGTTAGCCCTAAACCTTGAAACCTGAGCCTAAGACAGGTTCCTGGATGGCCTGAACAGCCAATCCGTGGCCTTGCTGCAAGTTTAGGGTTTAGGTTTGGGCTTAGGCTATTTAGGGTTTAGGATTTAGGGTGAAGTCCGGCTGCAGTAAGATGCTGTGAGGTTCCCCGACCTGTAACCCAAGTTACAAATGCTGTAACCAGGGTTACAAACCCTATAACCTAGGTTACAAGTTTACTGACTTTGGTTAAGTGTCAGGAGACTTGGACGGGTTACCAGATATATAACTTATAAACAAGACGCGAAAAAAGTTATCATACTTATTTCATACTTATCTGTACTTATGCATGTACTGTTTTTTGAAAGATCATTTTCGCCCTGTGCTCATTCAGAAGTGTTTTTTCGATGCTGCACGCAGCTTTTTCGGGTCGACTGGGTCTTTCATCTCGTTGCAGACAATGTGGCCGACTGTGCGCGTAGGTTTTTTTAGTTGGTTCATTCACGTAATTGTCTCCGTTAATGTGATGCGGGTGCTTGGGGCTAAAGTGTTTGTTGGAAGTAGCAGACGTATACAGGTTTTTGATCATGCTGCTGGACGAGGATTATGGTTCCAGAAAGTGCGGAATGGCATGCAGAAGGCGTGTCCGCGAGATGTCCGCCCGCTGTCCGCAATGTGTCCGCGGGCGTTCGTAGTATATATATATATATATATATAAATATGACTCGCATATGTCCGCGGTGACGGGAAAAGCAACAGATGTGTGTCCGCGAGTGTCCGCGTGCTCTTGAGGTAAGTATAGCTCCCATATGTGTTTTAACAGCAGCTGACATATGTCTCTGTGTCCGCGGCTGTCCGCGGGGATGTAGCTTGCAACGTGTGGTTTTCAACGGTTCGTTGCTGCGGCCAGGAGTCCTTGTGCGTCGACAGCGGGCGGACATCTCGCGGACATGCCTTCTGCATGCCATTCCGCACAGTCTGGAACCCTCGCGCTGGGAAGGGGATGCTTTCGTCACGCTGCGGTGAACAAACAAGTCTTGCTGGCGTCGGCCGTTTTTCCACAGTTGTCCTTCAATGCAGTTTCTGCCCCAAACTCCTGGACTATATATGTGCCCGCGCTCCGCGTTCTCGACCCCCCCCCCCCCCCCCCCCCAATGGTATCCCCCCCCCCCCGACCCGGGCGACCACAACAAGAACAAGAACAAGAACAAGAAAGAACAGCAACAACAAAAGCAGCAGCAACCACGCGGAGGAACCACAGGAACCACAGGGGGGGAGGGGGGAGACAGGAACCAGAAGAACCACAAAAGGGAGGGGGAAAACCAAGAGGAACCACAGGGGGGGGGGGGAACCACAGGGGGGGGGAGGGGGATTACCATGGGGGGGGGGGGGGGGGGGGGCCCGCGGATGCTGGCACATATATGGTCACGCGCTCCCCGCCCCCGCCCCCCCACCATGGTCCAGGATGCCTCCCCCCCCCCCCGCTGTGGTGCTGGTGTGGGTGTGGGGTGTGTTCTCGTCCCCTGCAGACCTTAGAAAATCAGCAAGCGATACACGCACGAAATCAAAATTGGGCATGCGCACAGGCAATCGCTACATGAACGAAAGTCAAATCTGCGTACGTGCACCGTCCATGAAGATCCAAACTCGGTAAACGCATGTGCGGTGCGGGGCGGAAGGGAGACCTTCTATGGCGTAAATCCCAGAATTCACAGATCGGTCGCGCCATCCACGACGATCAAAACTGGGTACGCGCACATTCAAGATTTGGGCATTTCCTCACTCGGTACAAGTGTCTGGCGGTCCATGCGGGCCTATAAAAGGGTACGAAGTCCAAACTCGGTACGCGCATCTGCGGCGCGGGGAAGAGGTGGGACCTTGGAAAATTCAGACTTCGGTACGCGCACGTGGGCCCAAGATCAAAACTGGGTACGAAGATCCAAACTCGGTACGCGCATCCGCGGCGCGGGGCAGAGGGGAGACCTTTCAAAATCACAATTGGATACACGCACGAAATCTAAAGTGGATACGCGCACAGACAGTCGGCACACGCACGAAAATCAAATCTGGGTACGTGCACCGTCCATGAAGATCCAAACTCGGTACCCGGTACCCGCATGAGCCCGCATGTGCGGTGCGGGGCGGAAGGGAGACCTTCTGGTGCAAATCACAGATCGGTCGTGCGGGACGGACGGGACACCGCGACAATCACATCTGGGAGCACACAGGCCCCACCCCCTCCCCCGCCCCCTACCGGGGGGGGCTGGAAACGCCAGACGCCTGACCATATATACTTCTCACTTTTTCTGATCTTACATACCGAGGTGCATTATCAACTTGTGTTTGAAATCTGCACAGCTTTTCCTGCGAAGTTGCTGGGTTTATGTTTGTGTTGGAGACGACAAGACAAAAAGTTATCCTACTTATAAGTCAATTGTAAGTTCGGTTACAAGAAGACATCATAAGTTAATAATAGCCTCATTTATAGGACTTGTAACAAACGGAACCTCACAGTGTGTAGGGATGGGGGCTTCGGTTTCTTCGCCGATGGCTGCGGGTCTAGAACGTAGAGATGCGGCTTCCCAGGCCTCAAACCTTTGTGCCTTAGATTTAGGGTACGGGTTCTGGTTTGGGGCCCATGACGTTGGGCTTCAACATGCTTCAACGCACTGGGTCCGCTAGACAATCACAATGAAATGGTTGTTGCCTGCTGCTTGGGGCTCGGGTGCCAAATCCTGCCGACACGACAGCTGAAGACGCTAGCTCGACAACTCTGCACACTCAAAGTATTACATGACCGTACAGACAGGGCATGCGAGACACAAGTATAGTCTACTTCCACGTGGCCACTGGATTGTCAACCCAAGCGAGGTGTGGTCGCTAGGAGGGCTGTCGTGTTCCATTTGGAAGCATTGAAGTCAGAGGAACCCGACAAAGCATCGCCACAGACGGTGCATACGTGTTTGCATCCGGGCCTCAATCTTACACCCGTCGCAAAACGACCTCCCTTGATACCTCAATCCGCGGCTGTACAGGAGACAACATGAGACAACAAAGGGCAACGTCCGACACAGTATTCGATCCGTCTTGCGATCAAGATCTTGTCTTCTTCGTGAACCCTGAACCTGAACTAAAACCCTGCCTACACTCCAACGACCAAACCCACTAAACGCCCGACTGCTCTGCTGCATTGGCAAGCACCCTCAAAACCTCAAGCTTCACTCTATTTCGCCCAGCCCCATGACACTACATCCTCACCGTCCCTTAACCCGTGAATGCCTAAATCCAATCAATCTTAGGAGCCGGCCGTGGTGTTCTTCTTCGGCGAGGCCTGCGGCGATTCCGGTATGTCGCTCTTGATATCAAGGGTTCATTCACACTACGAGTCAGGTTTCGTGGAGTCGGTACCTAACATCGATCATGACATTAGACGATGCTATACACCCTAGTACAGTACATTACGTTACGTTAGGTTATGGTTTACCATAGACGTTACATTAAAGAATTACAGATGTACAAAGAACATATTCGTATGGCCACTCGCACGCCCGCAAAGTAACTTTTCTCTGTAACTTTCAAACGACCAAGCCTGGACCCCAAGAAACCTTGTTTTTTCTAACAGATTCGATCTGAGCCTTGGATCACCCATGAATCCGAATTCGGAGCGGTTGCTTCTTGAAGGGAGATGCAATGGGAGCATAAGGGAGCTGAAAGCGGATGCGAGGTAGGGTATTTGGGACTAAGGAGGTCCCGTAATCAAGTTTTTGGGATCTTGTGCTCTGATAAGATAGTGAGAATGAGTTTCTCGCGATGATGAACATTGTCGCTACCGTTACTATCATTATGTGCATCATGATGGCATTGCCCATGATGGAGATCACTGTTCTGTCAGAATGAAGCAAAACACATGTGCGTGTTTCGCAAATTTGTATACATCGCTGTACACATATCTGTCTGTATATGTACATATGTTACATATATGTATATAAATAAATACATTATGTATATGTATATGTATATCTGTAGATTTATTATATCGAAACCCTGGGTTGCCTTGCCCAAGAACTGATTGAAAAGCCTGTGGAGCAGCCGAAGATCTTGGCAATTGTCGTAGAACTTGTTTGAGAAGACCTTGGGGAGTGAGAAGCCGTGTTCTCCTTAAAGCTTACGTAGTTGTCCCAGTAATGCTGAGGGGATAATCGTGTTTTTGTGTGAGAGTGTCTTCATTTGCAAGCCATTGCAACGAGATTCTACGCGGAAAGGGTTCTTGTGATTTGAAATCAGTTTGAACATTCACACACGTCAGGTCGTGCTTTCTTCTCGAACGAGTTTCGGCGCATGCGAGAGCACGGCTGATCGGAAAATCAAGGGTCATCACCAGCATGTCCAAGTGCGAACAGGAGTCCGATCGGATACAGTCCGT